GAGGACCTATCCACGTCATCATTTACCCAGAATGCTTTGCGTGTAAATAAAATGGCCCCATCTGTGAAATATATTTTTAAAAATTTAGTTTAAAATCATGGATCCCTTTAACTACCAAGTTGGGTACAAAATAAGCTGAAGTGGTAGGATATAGGCAACAAAATAATGTGCATGGGCTACAATAGAGTGGTGAGTTGTGCTGATCATGTCATCATAAGTGTTGAACTCAGGATTAAATTGGTTGGAGTCAGATATCCTATTTTTCCAACGACTCTTTATTCTTATAAATGACACACTGAACATCCTCTCCCTCAAGGCCAATGTGTAGAAAAACCAGTGAGTTCCTGTACAGCAGATTTACACCCAGTATTTGTTAAAACACCCAGAATCAGTGGAACTGAATATTGACCTGTTTCTACCAGTCCTCTGTGAGTCTGCAGCAATCACAGCCCAGGCACATCCTGACTTTAGAGGCTAAAATGTGCCTGCTGACACTGATGGTGTTATTTGTGCAGTGCTTCGGTCCTGGATCGGCTTAACGCTCTCCTTGAGCCTAACGGATGTCTCACCATCAGTGAACGTGGTGTAATCGATGGGGAGACCCCTCAGATCAGCCCACATCCTGATTTCAGGTTGGTGATACATTCCTACTTGTTGAAGCAGTTAAAACAGTGAAGAGCTCTGTGCTCAGCTGGTGTGTGTGGCTCTGCAGGCTCTTCCTGACCRTGAACCCAGCACACGGGGAGCTCTCAAGAGCCATGAGAAACAGGGGCGTCGAGATTTTCCTTCCAGGGGAGCATGAAGGGGTCTGCTGGGACTCACAGGACTTAAAGAGCCTGCTTCACACAGCTGGGGTGARCGGGGACTGTGTGTGCAATTTACTTATAGAAATTCATAAAGACATCAAATCTGCCATCTGGGGTAAGTCCTGAGAAGCTGACAGTAAGAACGTGTGCTGCCAGTCAGTCTGCAGGACGGATCAATATCTCTGTGCTTATTGTTACAGATTCCCCTGCTTCCTCACTAACCTCCCTCCTCCATGCTGCTGCTCTGCTGTCCGGCCAGCTGCACAGAGGTGTGGATTTGCCCAGAGCCTTGCAGCGTGCCTGTGGAGAGGCCTACTCCTCTTGTCAGCGCAGCTCTGCCAGCCYAAAGGTATGAAAACATGAAGATCAGTCGATACGCATCAGGTTCAGCTCAGGGTTCACTGAGTGATACGGTTTGTTTTTGTGCCCCGCCTCAGTGACCGAGGGCAAAAACATATTTCAGCCAATCTGCACCAAATTCACTGTGGTCAATCCTAATCCACCCCACTACAGGAATGCAGTATTATTTTTGGAGCCTAATAGCCTATATGCCACGGACTTCCGATTCTAGCACCTTGGCCACGCACCGGTCTTCCGGTTCACGGTCAACACAGTGTTAGCGAAAGATATTTTCACTCGACATCGACTCTTAATGATCTCCAAAGTACAGAATTAGCATATTACATGTACCAACATTAACACAGGACATGTACAGGTCCAGCCAAGTGAAAAAAATCACRCCAAAGTGGATTAAAGCCATAAAAACAATGGAAAGACGTTCATGTTTATGGTTCCAGAATTTAGCCTTTTTCGCTATTCTGTGGCTGCTTGTTCTGTGAATTTTTCACGTAGAGCTGTGACACTTATATTGTTGGAAAGAGCAGAGTCTGGGATTTAAATTGATGGCCTACTTGTTTGGTTTGGATCGTTTTCCCCGACGTTAGTGAACTGAAAACATAATAATTATCAGACGGAGGTTCTGCTGCTCTCGGTTCTCGGCACTRGGGGGTCAGGGCTCGTCGCTCAGGTTTTGTTTACGCTGTAATATACACTCTAACAAATTTTTACTTTTGCATAAAACTCATGACAAAGTCACATAAAAACATTTCATACTCTGTATGACACACACACACTCACACACCTACCTTTGTACCGGCTGCTGTGTTAGCTTCCTGCTAGCTGTGAGGAGGTCTTTCCTCTCTTGTCTTGGCAGTAAAAGGGGATAAATGTACATTTCCCTTTTGTAACCTCCGTCTTCTCATTTCTGATGCTGGCTCTTGAATATCATCAGGTTAGAAATGCTGATTACAAACACAAGCGTGAGCTTTTAAAGATAAGTTTTCCCTGTAATGCTATGATCCACAGCTGTCACCTCATCTAAAGGAAAAAGGATAAAAACTAACTACTCGATCGTACCTGCTGCTTAGTGGACACAACGACACACAACAGAACTCACGTTTTATACCAGTAGKTCACAGACGCTTTAACTTTTATGACTTTTTCACAGACTAGTACTAGTAGCTCACGCTAAAAACAACAGGCAATAGGCAGGAAGTGGAAGGGAGGAGTATGGCAAGAATTTTACCAGAAATACATCATTAATGACCGTGGCATATAGGCTATTACACATCACGCTGTTGACATACATTTGGCTCTAAATCACACATACATGATCTGATCTGAACCAAAGTTTGTGTGCATCATAAGGGAGACCTGAACAACACGTTTGTGTAGTAGTTTGACAAGATCACTTTATCCCCCTATCTGTCCATCTGTTCACCTTATGAGATGATTTAAACAATGAAGGTCTGTGATGWTTCCAACCAATCTGCTAACAGTTGCTCACTTCTGAATGATGACAAGACATCAGCGACAGCTGGCATCGACTTCTATCTTGTTTCACTTGTTTCAACATTGAAGCAAAATAAACAAAAGAAAACTTTAATCAGTGCAAACGTAGAAGCATAAGCTCTAGGGTTGGGTAAAAAAATAGATTTCATTGATCTTGGATCGATTTCATTTAAATTTGGGAAAATTGATTCACAGGGCATGAGATCGATTCTTCCCCATGCCGTCTTGTGCACGTGTCTGAGGAGCGTTTTTATATTTTGTCACTCCTGGCTTGCCGTATATTTACCTCCGGATGACGTTCAGTGCTAGCATTAGCTTTTGATAACAAGTTGTCTGGATCAAAACAAAAGAAACTAAGGAATCACTAACATTACAGCCGACTCTCCACAGAACTTAAAGACAACAGAGACCATGCAGACTTTTGTTTGCAAAGATTTGCGCTCCTACATTGTAGAGAAAACGAAGCGGGGTTTGACGAGCGTCTCGTTAGGCGCTCGAACCAAACTACTGTATGTAAACATCTGACTGATGAAATTTTGTAGTTGTTTTAATAAGTTATATGTATAAAGTTTTAATAATTTTTATTGAATGTAACAACAGAAGGTAACAAAC